GTCACAGGACTAGGACCCATGCATGAACATGCACCTCAGGCAGTGACTCAGGCTTTATGACCCAGCTCCCACATGTGCACCATTTTGAACCACATGAAATTGCTGATATTAACCCACTTTCAACATACAAAGAATGGCATTTTCATCCGGATCAACCTAATATCTAAGGATTTGACTAATAAAATACTTTTGAAAATGTATATGTGGAAAAATATATATTTACAGAAACTATGGTTGCTTTTTTCTTTATTTCATCACAGCATACCTAAGGTATAGCTACTGTGGATCCCAGGGGGGACGGGCAACTTTTTTTTGGGGAGGGGGGGTTATCTTTTTAACTTTATTTATTGCAGTATTGGGATAGAACCCAGGGCTTTTTAAATGCCAGGAAAGTGCTCTACCACTGAGCTACACCTCAAACATTTTGGTCTTTTTTAAACAACACAAGATAAAGCACAAAGCCCAACATCAGTATCAGCTACTGGAAAAAAGCACAGGGCCCAGATCTGACCGGGAGCTCCTGCCAAGTAGTCTGATTTATCTGAGGTTACAAGCAGCTTTCAATGAAACTCTCCATTTTAAACTGAGCCTTTAAAGACACTAATAGGTTTTTAATCTGATTCAATGGGTATGGCCACTTGAATTTGACTTTGACTGCTTCCCTTCCATTGGATTTGGCATGTGGGCCCTGCTTGAGGGGACTGCCTGGGATCTGCAAAATGGATGGCTGCTCAGAGAGACGACCTATCATGGAACCATGAACACATGCGATCAAAGGCACGACATGGAACAATCAAGCTTGGTACCTTCCTCTCTCCACAGAATGTTTGCCACTGTACAGCCGAGAATTAAGAAAGCCAGAACACGATTGCCAGAAGGGAAAAAGGAAAGCATTGTCAAACCTTTACTGTGGTGATACATTTCATTTAGAACATAATGGTACCCAGTCCATCACTTATAGACTCATTGGCCCAGCAGCAGCATCTGTCTTGTAACTCTGGACGGGAGCGAACACTTCCAGGTCTCAGGACTCTTGATTGCTAAATGAATCTTTGAAATTAGGCCCCAGGATCACAGCAGCTAATAAAATTCCCCACATTCTGTGGATGATAGAGAGCAAGCAACATCTCTCCCAGATTCCCCTGATTACTTCAAGGAGGATTGATTTTCAACTAGGATCCTCATAGGAAGACCATGTGAAATACTTTTGATTATTTTCTCTGATGACAAAGGCATAGCTTGGAGTCTGACCAACCAACACTCGTGTTCATGAATTCTTACCTGCAATTCTCCCTGGGGTGCAGTGGCTATCATGGAGAGCATACTAAGTACAATGGGTGAATGATGATCCCTGGAGTTAAGGCCACCATGGTTAAGGCC